AGAATTTATCAAATAACTGATGATAAACATGAAACAGATTTTATGTGTTAAATTGTCGATCTCTCTTTTCAAACAACGAATATTTTTTTCTTCGTTTTCTATTGTCCATAAATATACATATATACATACTATATATATAAACAAAGACACTGACGATGTTTGAACGTGTGATGTTTTGTTCGTGATTATTGTTTTCTTTCTTTCTTTTTGTTTTTTAACACAATATGATGTGAGTTTTATTTATTATTTATTCTCAATGAATTATCCCGATGATTGATTGAATACATCTATATTTTTCTGTACGAAGATGTAGTAATTACAATTGTCCCAATATTTAGTTCATAATTTATTGACAATAAAATTTATCTTCGTTTAAGATTTTGTTTTTTAAATAAATTGAAAAAATACGAATCGTTTTCTTTCTAATGATCAGATTAAATTCTTATACTTAAATCTATTTTTATATTTTCTAGTTAATATCATTGTTCTTCTATTGTCTGTTTTTAAATGACATAGAACAGAGTTATTTGAAATAGTCTCGATCTGATACCGTATGTTTAGTATTTAAATGTCAGAAAAAAAACTTTTGTTTAATGTTAATCTAAGATGAATAGCATTCATAAACGACAGACTAAACAATATTATTCTGTGAGATCTTATCAAAAACAAAAAGAAGATCTGGTGACTCTACTAGTTTATTCATACCAGATGACTGTCAAGTTTTGCATTAGATTAAATTGGTAAACTTCATAGGATTTCGTTTATGTAGAATAGTTTTAGATAAATCTCGAATACTATCGATTCTAGTCTATATGAACAATTCTAACTTTTGTCATACGGATTTGTATATGAATGAAGACTATGATGTCTACCTTCACCACGATGGTTGCTATGGAGTTGTACCTAAACTGTGCTGTTACTTGAAAAATTAACTGTGAAATTGCCTGTCTCTGTAAAATATAAAAATAGAATTTATACATAAACAAACTATCATCTGGCAAGAAAAGTCATAATTATAGATTTATACAATCAAGCGGGCAGACATAGTTACTTTAGACTATTGTACCAGAAGAATATTCATATAAATGAGTTGTACATAAACATTAGTTTTCCTTGTTCGCTATTTCCATGACATTTTGTCATATGATTAATACGCAATTCACTATTTAACCCTATCGAGGTCATTCAATTTTCATATGTATTCACTGCTGGTTTTAGAATTTGCAGTCGTTCCTTTTTGTTTTTCCTCGTTTATATTAGAACTTAAATAATATTCTGTTACATCGAACTGACCAGTTACTCAAGTTTATTTTCTCATTCTTTCTGCGACAACTAATCAATTGATAAGTCTAAAACCGAGAAAAATTGTAATACAATCTACATAAATAAACTGTAGTCGTATGGAAATCTTGTACGATTTTTATCCCTCGATATCGTATTTTGGAGACTGAAATCTAATCCGAAACAATAACTAATAAATGATTTGAAGCATAAAGTCGCTGATTACATGCAAGAAGAAATAGTGGAATGACCTGAACACGATGTTCGAAACCCTGATCTGAATGCCATGAGAGAAGCGAATTTGGTGACAGCAAAAACAAATTGATTGTTTTAATGAGAAACATGAGGGTACACAATAAATAATTAAAACAATAGCGAAGACAAATTAGATGATACATTGTGTGTTATCTCAACACCTCGAAAGTGTCAAATTAACTTTATAAATATCGGAAATTCTGTTTCTTGAATTTTGAATAAAATAAAACATTGAACTTTATTTTGCATGTAGATGTCGTTAGAATCAAAAATGAAATAAAATATTTTTCAAAAATTTCTATTTCAAAACTTTTTTATATTAGTTTTATTTTTAAAAATATTATTTCCCTTTCATATATTTTATACAAATTATTGTATCACTTAGTTACATTCGATTCATTGACGCCAATAATGGCTAACAAAACCATCGAATTAGTATAATAATTTGCTTTGAAAAAAAAATTTCAATACGAATTCTTTATTTCTTCGTTTCATTTCGTTTATGATCAAATATTTTATCTGATTATTATTATAAAAGAGAATTTTTTTTCTTTATAAAACCTTTTCTTTAAATGAATCAAGCAATTGTACATCTATTAAAGTGAATTCTTAAATAAAATGACAAAATGTCTTCTCAAGGCTTTAAAAGCCGTTGACCTTGACAAACATATTGGATTATTTCGTTCACTTGGTTATGATTCTGCAGGTGCATTAGCACATTTTCGTACCGAACATTTTGAAAAATTAAATTTCAATGAACAAGAATTACTTCATTTAATTTCTTTACTGGATGTTCTTAAAGAAGCAACACGTGATGGAAAAATTTGTACACATAATTTTTCTTCAACAAAATCAACTCAACAACAGCAACAACAATCAAATATCAAATCTAATCCTATTATACGAGCTGCTTGGTGTGATGATACAAATCCACAAAAAAAATTCTCAATCAAAAAGATCTAAAAGTTCAATAGATATAACAAGACGTTCATCAATACAACGGAATTATTCAGATGATTTTATAATACAAAAAACATCGACAGTTCTTAGTAGAGAACATATTATACCAACAAAACCTAATCATCAAATTATTTCAGGATCAAAATCATTTTTAAACCGACCACCAATTGAACATGTGAAAGTAAGAAATTGAATAATAATTACTGATGATATGTCTATTGACTAGCATATATAATAATTGTGTGCATTTGACCTATTTTTTTAGGGGACGATGCAAGTATTACGTTTTCCGGTTTTTGGTCATTTTGACCTCTGCCCCTCCCCCAAATAATCAAATGTCAACAGAGATAGGCAACTCCAACTCCGGAGTTGACGCTTTTTTACTTGGAATTGGAGTTGGTGCTTTTTTCCAACTCCGATTCAACTCCGGTGGGTCTCATGGCGTGTAAGAGAACAGCAAATAATATCTATCAGAGATGAGCAGCTTCAACTCCGAAGTTGACTCTTTTTTATATGGAGTTGGAGTGGAGTTGTGAGAAACGAGATGGAATTGGAGTGAAGTTGGAGTTGCTTACCCTCGGAGTTACCCATCTCTGAATGCCAACTTTCTGGAATCCCTCCTTCCCTGATTACGTTATCACGTCGAATTTTTATATAATAGATAAACCTTTTGTACAGTCGGGAATTTATATACGTCATCCTTGAGCGACCACTCCGCTCCCTACAGTAATCAATTGTCATTATTGACTGACCCCTCCTCCCATAGGCGGCGCAGCTTCAATGTTTTAGGGAACGCGATTGCTAACCCGCTGCTTGCTAGCGCGCCGTCCATGCCTGATTCCCCTACACTTGAAAACGTAATACTTGCATTGTTCCTAACAGGTGTTTATCATTTCTGTAAATATACCAATCGGAAATCCTATTTTCCCCTATATTTGATTTTAATTGCCGAATGATATTTTTCTTGTTTTGTTTAATTAGGTTAAATCATATAATTATGGTATTCCAACTAGTAGACGTTCGCGAAGTAATACTCATCGTAGTAATTTTCAACAGGAAACAAATTATCACCATAGTCCATTATTTGTTTCATCTCCACGTCATACAACCGATACAATATCATATGCTAAACCAGCTGAAATATATGTTTATGCTCGTAAACGACCGTTATTATCAAATGAAACAAATTTTGAAGATACAGTAACTGTACCTGATAATAAACGTGTAATTATTACAGAAAACAAAGCAAATCTTGATTGTACACCTTTACTTAAAAAAGTATTTTTTGAAAAAAAAAAGATTGAAATAAATAATTAATTTTTTCATTTACAATAGA